ATGCTTAGGCAAAGGCCAAATTGTTCAGAACACAAAATACTCACCAGACAGTGGCAGAAATTTAAACCCATAAAATTCCAGTACTTGAATGGAGCCTACAAGAAAGACAAAGAGGGGCTTTTTACAGGAGCATGGAGTGACGGACAAGAGGGAATGGCTTCCAGCTGAAAGAGGGTGGGTTTGGACCAGATATTAGGAGGAAGTTCTTTGCTGTGAGGCCCTGGCACAGGGTGCCCAGAGAAGCTGTGGCTGCCCCTGGATCTCTGGAAGTGCCCAAGCCAGGTTGGCTTGGGGCAACCTGGGATAGTGGAAGGTATCCCTGTCCATGGCAGGGGGTTGGAATGAGATGATCTTGAAGGTCCCTTCCAGCTCAAACCATTCTGGCATTCTATGAGCTAAAGAAAAACCCTCTGTGATGTTGTGTTTGCTTCCTGTGTGAATTGGAGCAACATTTGATCCTTTCCCTTACTCCTAGGCAGCCACTGGTCAAACACAAGCTCAGGAGTGACAGCAACAACCACAGACTCGTGGCTGCATGCTGCCAATTCGAGTGAGTACCCATATGAGTACCTGGATGAGGAGGACTATGGGCTCTATGGCCTTTGCACCAAAGAGGAGGTGCTCTCCTTCAGCAGGGTGTTCTTGCCATCATTTTACACCATCATCTTCCTGGTTGGAATGGCTGGGAATGCTCTCCTGTTTGCTGTCCTCCTCATGTACATCAAGAAGAAAAAGAAGATGACTGAGCTGTATCTGCTGAACCTGGTGGTTTCAGACTTCTTCCTGCTACTGACCCTTCCTTTCTGGGCTCTGTACATTTCTCAGTGGGTCACCTGGGACATCTTGTGCCCATTCTTGAATGCCATGTACACTCTCAATTTCTACAGTGGCGTCTTCTTTGTGAGCTGCATGAGCCTGGACATGTACCTGCAGATAGTTCATGCTTGGTCTCCTCACAGCTCCACAGTGTGGAGGAATTCCATCCTCCTCTTGTTGGTGATGTGGGTCCTTTCCATAGCTCTCTCCATTCCTGATGGCCTTTTCACCAGCACAAGGCAAATTCACAACAAAACCATCATGTGCACCCAGGATTATGGCCAGGAACACTTATTTTGGAAAGTTGTCTTTCGGGTGATTCAAAACACCCTGGGATTCCTTTTCCCCCTCCTCTTCATGACCTTCTGCTACTCCCGCATCGCCTGTGTGCTCAACACCTCCCAGATACCTGGCTCCAGGAGAGCTCTCTGCTTAGTCCTTGCTCTGGTGGGGGTCTTCTTTGTGCTCTGGTGTCCTTACAACGTTGTGCTCATCCTCCACTCCCTGCAAGATGTTGGTGTGATCAGGAGCTGTGAAAGCAGCAGGAAACTGGATTATGCTCTGCAGGTCACAGAGAGTTTGTCCTTTGTCCACTGCTGTCTCAACCCCTTGCTCTATGCTTTTGTGAAGAAACACTTCAGGGCATATTTGTGGAAGATCCCTCAGGCCATTTTCAGGAGAGGTGCTTTCTTTTCCATCCAGGACTCCCAGACGAGCCCATCTTGCAGCAGATATGCAGCTGAGATAGAAATGTTGAGCATCACAAATGCATCATAAATATTTACATTTTTTACATCGTATCCTGCCCATGCTGGAGTTGTCGTGAGCCCACAGCACTGTGTAACCAGATAGTTCATGCTAGCAACCGCCTTGAGATGAGGACTTTCCATACTGGGATTGGAAAAGTACATGTGGGATCTGTTTTTGTTGCAAGTGGAATTATTACGAAAGAATTGTCCTGGATTTGCACTAGTGGAAGAAACCCAGTTCCCATCTGGAGTATGTGAGGCAGTAGCAAACAAAGGATCAGATTTCTCAATGTTGTGCCTTAAAAAATGCAAACTAAAACTTGAGGAGAGGTTCTCCTCCTCCCTGGCATGGGCTTTCCATGGATGGAATTCCATGCTCATCCATCAGGCCAGAAAGACTGCCAAGGGATGGCTTTGCTTCTCCTGGCTCTTACCATCTGCCAGATGATTTAACCAGGACAATCTTGTTTCCTACCAGGAGAAAAACAGGAAGGACTGGACACTTTGAGCTGAGTTGTTCTCTGTCATGATGAGCTGTGGCACACGGACCTGCTGAGCAGGGAACTGTGGCTCCCCAAGGGGCAGAGCCTTGGTTAGAGATCAGTTTGATCATCAGCTGATTTGAGACAGTTTGAGCAGAACAGTCCAGACCAGTAACAATCAGAAAGAGATAAAAAGGGGGCTCAGCAGAACAGTGGTAAAGGTATTTGTCTTCCAAGATCCAGTTTGACAAGATAAAAACGATCCTTGGATACCACCTGTAAGATAAATATTAGCTTTGAAACACAACAGAGTGAGAGCATGTCCTGAACAGCAGAGCACAGAGGGCTGATGGTCAATCCTTATTACCCAGTGCAGCTTTGAAGTTCAAGGTTCTGAGTTTGCTGACTTTTATTTCAAGGCGTTATTCACCCCAAATGCTCCTGAACCTTAAATGGTCCCTTTTCATCCTGAAAATTTATTAAGTCTGGAACTTGCCTAGAGTTTACAAATAAAATGATTAATTTAAGAGAAAGCACTCATCACGTTTATTTTATTACTACATAAGGTTACAGGACTGAGAAGGGCTTTGAGTTGATCACTGCTGTTATTTTTCTTCCCAGCATTGCTGCAGTGTTTTTCCAAAATGCTAAGGTTGGGAGCTTTCCTTAAAAAAACAAAGCCAGAATAAATATTTAGCTGATGCTGTGATGTGGCCTTCACTCCTCGGGTCAGGTCACTGTAGGGAACGTGGAAAGGGACAGAAGGGACAGCAGCTGGGAAGATAAAAAATGAAGATTATGATCCCAGACAGAGGAAGACTCTTGGGACTGTGGAAAACTTCTGATGAGATGCTCTAGGGAAGAGCAAAGGTGAGGAATAGAGGGCAGTTAATGTCACTCTCCATCCTGCATGAGAAGAGGTCCAAGCACCAGGGGCTGGGACAGGCTGTGGTGGCAGTCTGGGTAGATCAGGGTGGCAACACCAAGGGGAGCAGTGACAGGGGACAAGGGGTCCCTGACATTGTCCCCAAACCCCATTTGGAGAGAGGTAACAGGGGAGTTTGAGAAGCAGAAGGGAAGTGGGAAAAGCAGGAGTGCTGTGGTCCCTGTGGGTGCTGCTCCCATCCAGGGGCTGGATGGAGCATCTGGAAGCTCTGGGCTCCTCTGGTGCCAAGCAAATGCAGTGGCTCAAGCTCTCCTCACTCGTGGGGCAGCTCAGCTGCTTTGCTTGGCACTCACACAGAGCAGTAGCCCTTGCATTGTTCATTGGCAAAGCACCCCTGGGACACCATGTGCTGTGGAGATCACCAAAATGACAGAGACTTTTCCTTCTCTTGGCTTTTGAGACTAAATCAGCTCAGCTGTGACCCCCTTCCCTCGGTCCTGTGCTCATTTCCAGTAGCATTTCCAACATCCATTGGTTTCATTTTTTCAGTGGGTGTCCATAGCCTGGTCTTAAAGGCAAAAATCACAGAGTGGGATTCTCTAAACATTTTCCTTACAAAATCTGGGCTCCATGCAGCCTAGAGAAGGGAATTTGCCTCATGCCAAAGCCCATCCCCCCAATACAGCATGGGTACTCCAACAGGATTCCAACATACCTTCCACCTTAAAATTCTTGGTTCATCCAGGGACGAGTTCACCTCGAGCAGAGCACTGAGCAGGGGCAAGGCAAACACTCACAGCCAATGAGGACACAGGCTGTCAGCTCTGCATCTGCCTGTCAGCTGCTGGGTGGGGATAAAATGCACGTTCCTGCCTCAGCCTGCCTCTAGTCCCAGCTCCTGGACGGCACAGAGCTCTCATGGTGCTCTGGGTGGTTCTCCTCTGCACCTTGGTGTCATCACTGCTCGGTGGGCTCTACGTCCTGGGCGTGTTTCGGAGACAGAGACCCAATGAGCCACCCCTGGACAAAGGTACCATTCCCTGGCTGGGCCATCTGCTGGAATTCAGAAAGGACAGCTCAGAGTTTCTCAAAAGGATGCAGAGCAAACACGGGGATGTTTTCACGGTGCTGATCGCGGGTTATTACTTCACCTTTGTGATGGATCCCTTCTCCTTTGGCACCATTGTGAAGGAATCGCGATCCAAACTGGACTTTAGGACTAGTGCAACTCAGCTGGTCGTGCGGGTTTTTGGCTACAAACCCATCGAAGCCACTCATAGCATAGTTCACACATCAAGCATAAAGCACCTGATGGGAGATGGCCTCACTGTCCTCACACAAGCCACCATGGAGAGCTTTCGGAAGCTGCTGCTTTTCAACCTGAGCTCAGGAGAGAAGAGAGTGTGGCAGGAGGAAAACCTCTTCCACTACTGCTACAACATTGTCTTCAGAGCTGGGTATCTGGCTCTGTATGGCACTGAGCCACCCCGAGGGGCAGGGGGCCAGGAGAAAGCTGAAGAGCAGGATCGCCTCCACTCCAACCAGCTCTTCCAGGAGTTCCGTAAGTACGACCGCCTCTTCCCTCACCTGGCCTATGCTCTGCTGCCTCCCAAGGACAAAAGAGAGGCTGAGCGGCTCAAGAGACACTTCTGGAATGTGCTGTCTGTGAAGAATGTCTGGCAGAAGGACAATATCAGTGGCTGGATAAGTGATCAAGAGAAACTTCTGGCAGAAAACGGTGTCCCCGAGTACATGCGGGAGCGTTTCATGTTTATGCTCCTCTGGGCATCCCAAGGCAACACGGGCCCGACTGCCTTCTGGCTCCTCTTGTATCTGCTGAAGCATCCAGAGGCTCTGAAGGCTGTGAGAGATGAGGTGGATAAAGTCTTGAAGGAGAGTGGGCAGGAAGTAAAGGCAGGGAGCCCCCCAGTTACTGTCACTAGGGACATGCTGAACCAGACCCCTCTGCTGGACAGTGCTCTGGAGGAGACCCTGAGGCTGGTGGCAGCCCCAATACTGGTCAGAGCTGTGCTCGAGGACACCTCCCTGAGGACAAGCACTGGGACAGAGTTCACCCTCCGCAGAGGGGACAGGGTGGCTCTGTTCCCATACATCTCCGTGCAGATGAACCCAGAAATCCATGAGGAACCACACAAATTTAAGTACGATCGTTTTGTACACCCAGACGGCACCAGGAAAGATTTCTACAGGAACGGGAAAAAGCTGAAATTTGTCAGCATGCCTTGGGGGGCAGGAGTTTCCACCTGTCCTGGCCGCTTCTTTGCTACTGCTGAAATGAAATTGTTTGTGTTCTTGATGCTGAGTCACTTTGACCTGGAGCTGGTCGATGGGGAGGAGGAGATCCCAGCCATAGACATCAGCCGCTGGGGCTTCGGGACTATGCAGCCTGTCCGCGACGTTCGCTTCAGACACCGGCCACGCTTCTGACCTGGGCACTCCTGGTGGTGTTTGTTCTGCTGTCACCTGTGGAACAAATTGTCTGATCTCATGGTTATAAGATCTGTGCAGTGCCAGCACTGATATGATCTTGTTTGCTCAATGTTTGTCATGGCTTTTGTTGCTACCCTCCTCCTCCTCCTCCCTGTGTGCTGCTGCTGCTTGCTGTGTTGGTTACGGGATAGAAGAGGGTGATATACACATAAAGACAAAATGTGCCCTGCCAGGCTACTCCCAGCCCCATCCTGGGGACCATCAGCCCACTGAAAGCCAGGAGGAGCACAGGGTCAGATTGGCAGGTGGGAACTCAAATTCAGGGCTTCCAAGGAATAAGGGTTTTGCCCAGGTCCCTCCCAGGGCTGCCCCAGCAGAGCATCAGCCCCATGGTCCCAGCATGACTCCCATGGAGATGTGTCATCAGCTCTCTGGATCACCGCCTGGGATAAGGGGGATTGTGCCAATCCTATGCTGTGTAGGAAAAGTGCATTTTGGTACTGCACAGGACTTTATATAATAGAGTGTTTGGGGGAGGAACCAAAGAGGGTTAAAAGAGGGACTTGGGTGATTTAGGGAAGAAAATTGAGATGTAAGGGGATGAAAAGGGCTGGTTGGGGGCAAATAGGTGACTGACCGGTCCCTAGACTTGTCAGGTCACACCCTGCACCTGATAATTTATTTTCCTCAGTAAGTACCATTGGCAGGATGGCATCAGCTTGTGGTGAACCCCTGAAAGGTCAGAGAGCAGCAGATATCCTCTCCAGAGATGTAAAAATTTCCTTGGGGAATTTTGTCTTGTTTATGGTTCCCTTCTTGTATCTGATGAGACCTCCAAAGAGAGCAACCTCAATCCCTTATGGGCTACAGCCACTGTGATCTTACAGCCCTCAAACATATTTTTTATCTGCTGAATCAGTGCAGGATAAAACTTTGCTCTACAAGCTCTGCTTTGCTTTATCACCCTTCAACAATTAGAACTTCCACCACTTCCTTACAGAAGTTAAACCCAAGCCTCTCCTGCATGGAGAGCAGTGGATTGATTTTAATGCTGACACTAACCTTGAACTTTGGAGATTATTTGTGGTCGAGGAATGAAACTCAAACATTTTCACATGTGTCCAAACATCAGATCCAGATTCTGCTTTGTCCTGCAAAGGTCATGATGTTACATGATGTTGTAACTGCATGTTAAGGGCAAACTATCCCGGCCTGCCAGACTGGTCATTAGCCCTGACCTCATGGATGTGGTGGAAATTCAGGCAGAAACTATCAAGCAGTTGTGGCAGGACCAAGGAAAAAAACTACCTGTAAGGCTTGACTGCAACTGCTGATATTTCCATTAGCAATTCCAGCACCTTTTCACTCCTTCCATGCTCCAGCTGCAGCTCTCACCTATTTTTTTGTCATCTGAAGCCCTTTTCACATTCTGGTCAATGCAAGCTCCAAACCATGCCCAGGAATTCCCTGGGGTAGCTGGGCAGCTCAGAGCCATCATCACATCCTGCCCAGGTGATGTCCTCCTTCCAAAGCTCTAGTAAAAGGATTTTTCATGTGGATGTCCTGCATGGAAGTGGTTCCTAGCTAATACAGTGTATGCAGGTTATCACAAAGAGCCCAGGTCAGAGTTGAGGGATGTGTGCTGCACAAATGTGGATTGGGAGTGGGGAAGGAATGTAAAAGTAACAACAATGGTTCAGCAGAAAAATGTGGCTTTATTTGCTTGTCAGAATGGTTTATTTAACCAAACAGTGTTGAGTCTATAAAAGAGCTCAGACATGCTCAAATGCATGCAATTGTGAGAAGCAAGAAAGAAAATAATTCATATATGGAAGAGCATGAAAACTCCAAGTGAGTTAATCTACAATTATGTTTTTTATGTTTAGATAGGTTTTTCCCTGGCACTGACCTTTCCATCCCAAAGTGCACCAGCAAGAGCAAAGAACCAGCCTGTGCCAACAAAAACCTGTCTGGATTTGTGACAGAAGTTAAATTGGATGGGATCCAGAGTCCTGAAAGGCTTCTTGGGGGCAGCCCTCATTGCAGTGTCTGTCTTGTGTAACTCTGCTCTCCTCCCAGAGAACTGAGCATGGAGTCTGGCCCTAAGCCCTTCGGGTTCTCTCCTCTAGCACACTTCAGCGTTCCAAATTTTACAGTCTATTGAGTTGGTGCCTGCTCTCCACAGCACAGGGAAAGCTCCTCAGCTCTCCGTCACAATTCCTGCTCTGCATGCTCAGCAAGGGAAGGAGTCATGATGCTCCATCTTTCAGGTTTGGAACAATATGGGTTAAACTTGTTGGGAAAGAGCATCCCTGGATAAACAGCCTCACTTTTAGTATTGAACTTTAGGGCATTAGGAACTGTTTTCCTGTTCTCCTTCCACTAAACACAGCCAGACACAGCTCTGATAAAGCCTCTTTCTGCTGCTCATATGGGAAATTGAGGGATACATCAATCACTGCAGAGAAACTCAAAGGAACACTGAAGTTATGAGTACAAAGCAATGACACAGCCAACACCATCCTTTGCAGAGGAAAGCAGGGTGTGAAGGTCATAGAGGAACGTGACATTTCAGGGTTTTTAAAAAGAATTAAAACACTCAGCCTTTGCCAGGGACACTGCTGCCACATCTCCCAGTGGATGTGTCCCTGCTCCCCAGGGAAGAGCAGTTCAGCTTCAAAGTGGCAAAGTCTCTTAGTGGCACAAAATCTGCACATTACAAGGTCACTGTTGGGTTTGCTGCCTTCACTGTCCAGTGTCCCAGTTCCCCCCACAAGTCACACATAGACAGAAACAGCCCGTGGCAGGCAGGACACACGGACAGAACACAGTGGGGTTGGTGGGAGGGTTTGGTACCAAACACCCGGTGCAGGAGGGCACAGGGAGGTGATTCCCATCTGTCACCACATCCACGTCACTGTGCAATCATGAGGCCATACTTGGAGCACAGCAGGCCCCTCTTCTTTTCCCGGTCCATGAGGAAATTCCTCAGTTTGGTGGTGGGGAAGGTGACCAGTGCCTGCTGCTTGTTGTCCAGACCTGTCTCCTGCAGCCAGGGGCTCTGGAGGCACTCGGAGGCTGAGGGCCTTCCCCTAGGACAGACAGAGGTGAGGGGTCAGTCATGGAGGGTCTGTGCTGCATGGGGAGGCTGTCATGGACATATTTTCCGAAAAATCATTTTGAGAGAATTTTTCTCCTGAGAAGCTGAGAGGCCTCAGAAACGAAATGTAAACAATAATTATCTGCTGCTGTGGAATGCAACAGGTGCATCTTTGATTGGTCTCATGTGGTTGTTTTTAATTAATGGCCAATCACATTCAGCTGTCTCAGACTCTCTGGAGAAACAAATCCTAGCAAAGGATTTTTCAGAAAATATATCCATGACAGGAGGCTCCTTGCAAATAAAGAGAAGGGGCAACACCCAGGATGTGCTGGGAGGACAGGCAGCCTCTTACCAAGGGTTTGCACACAGAGTGCTCTGCAGGAAGGACACTGCTCCCCCGGACAGACCCGCGTAGCACCGCGCCAGCTTCAGCTTCCCCTTCCTGGCTGTTCTCAGGAACTCACAGGGTACATCCGAGCTGATGGGGTAGTTGGCACTCAGCCTGCCCCAGGAGAAGAGAATGAAATCATGGACCTGCCTCCAGCTCCCAGCAGCTGAGAGAATTGAGGATTGTTGTTGACTTTATTCGTGGTGTTGCACCTTGTGTGGGGGCTGTCTCGGGCGCGATTTGGGCTTTTTAGTGGAAGGGTCAGGAAGTAGTTTAGTTAAAAATGCCAGCTTTGGGAGTTGGAGATGAGGATTTGAATCTTTTCTTCCTGAGATAGGGCGGTGGGGTAACTAGGAAGGGGTTCAGTCTTCAATCTTTGGCTTACAAGACCAATGTTTTTATAAACTATTAGAGTTAATTAGAGTTTGAGTAATTTATTTTCTAGGGTGGCCGCATGAGGAGGATGTGGAGCTGTTGGAGCGAGTCCAGAGGAGGACACCGAGGTTAGCAGAGGGATAGGGCACCTCTTCTTTGGAAAAAAACTGAGAGAATTGGGATTGTTCATCCTGGAGAAGGCTTCAGAGAGACCTTAGAGCCCACTCCAGTGCCTAAAGGGGCTCCAAGAGAGCCTCCAAGATGGACCTTGGATAAGGGCTTGTAGTGGCAGAACAAGGATGAACAGTTTTAAATTAAAAGAATATAACTTTAGATTAGATATTGGGAAGAAATTCTTCCCTGTGAGGGCATTGAGGCCCTGGCACAGGTTGCCCATCCATCCCCTCCATCCCCCAGCTTTCCATGGCATTGCCAAAGGAAGGGCACAGCTGAGATTAACTCTATGAAACTGATTTTAAAACCACTCACAGGGTAGGGAACAATCAACTGACTCACATGATGAAGGCTGTGATTTAAAAACTGAAACTGTAATTTTAATGCAAATAACAGCACAGCAATCAATGGACTCACATGATGAAGGCTGTAATTCCAATGGACCAAATATCAGTCTGGGGAAGGGCTCCTTGCTCTGTCAGCAGTTCTGGAGCTGGAAAAGTAAACTTGTGTGAGGCAAGCTCCTCTCCAACACACTGAGAGCAGCACAAAGGCAGTGGATACTCTCATGCTTTGCTGCCTTGCCAAGAGGGAAGAAGAGGCATTTCCCAGGACAGGGAGCTGGTTGAGGAGCTTCCACATGGATGCTGATTGCAGTGAAACCATGAGAACCTCTGGGCAGATGGCAGCAATGGACACATAGATGCCAGCTAAAGTGACATTGCTGTGAGCTCTGTCCCCTGTGCTCTGCAGTGGACAGCTGTCACCACTCAGTGCTCCCACAAACTCTCACTGGCACTGGAGAGCAGCACCTGGAAGGTTTTTCTGGCTGGGACCACCTGCTGCCTTGACCAATGTTTGTGTCTTTCTGTTTATCACACATTGCAGATAAGCCCCAAGTCCTTGTGACTGAGCTCTACTCACCCATGGTCTCCACATAGTCCGAGCATTTATCCATGGTAATAAATTTGTCTGGTGTGTAGAACTGTGCGTTGCCAAAATCCAGGAGTTTCAGCAGGTTGGGCTCAGTGATGATCATGTTCTCAGACCTGAGGTCCAGGTGCAGGATGTTGTGTGCATGGAGATACTCAGTGGCACTGAGGATCTGCCACAGGTAGTCTCGGACCTCCACCTCTGAGTATGATGTCCTGGTGAGAGAAAGGGGATAGAAAACACAGGTGTGCTGTCTGCATGCCCAGAAATGCCTTTCTACACCCACTGTCACCCTCCCCTGGGTGTCTGATCCCATCAGACCCTTGAGAGTCAAGAAGAAACAACTCTAGTTTAGCAAATCAGCTCTGTGTGGAGAGGCTGGTCCATCCTGTGAGTCAGGTTTACAGATGCAACAACAGGATGTTGTAGAGTTGAAAGAGAAAAAGCAGATTTTTCCTCCTCTCCATTGGGAGGAAATTCCAGCTGGAGCATCCTTCTGTTTCTTTACAGAAGGGACATTTCCTTTGTCATGAGGGTATGTTTGCTGTGGGGCCATGGATATCTTAATTGATCTCTGAATTGATGCCCACAATTCCCTCTTGTTTTATCACAGGATTTCAGCAGATCCATTTTGTGCCACTGTGAGAAACAATGAATCTTCCTGACCCTCAGTAACCTCCATGCCATGGTGTTGGGGTTAACAGGTGTTGGTGTAAGGAAACCCTTCATGTATCACATTATGGGAGATAGTGATGCCTCAGGTTTAACTTTTCTATTTTTCAGATTCTGTGCTGCTTTAGTGTGTAATTCTGAGCTTCATATCAGGGGATGGTGAGCTCTGTGCACAGAGCAGGGAGACAAAACAATTCCTGCTCCAGCTGGGCACCAAGGACAAATGATCCAAATCTCAGCCCAGGAGCACAAACCCCGTGGGCTGGAGAGAGGAAAACAAGCAGGGTGGGACTGCCTGGGCTAAAGCTGGAATGGGACAATGAACTGCAAGGTGCAAATGGAGCAGAACTGATCCCAGGGAGAGAGCCCGGGAGCGCTCGTGCATTTTGGGGCCATTTTGGTTCATCTTGGGTGCAGCCCTGGCTGGGCTCTGGTGCTGCCCAAGGTGCATCCATGGAGGCCTTTTAATAAATCCCTGCTTTATTCTTTAGCTCTGTCCAGTCTGTGTTCTAGGGCAGCCTGCACAAGGCATCAATAGTTTCATATCACTGTAAACTGCTTTCAGCATCTCAGCTGGGTGGTCCTGAGTTGTCCTGCTGTAGAAAACGCAAGTAATTTTTTTATCTCAGAAGATGCAGAACAAACACTTTACAAATCCTGTGTTCAATGACAGCACAGTGGAGGAGATTGAGAGGGATGATCCAGTTTGTCAGGAGAAACCAACAGGTATCTTCCTCCCATCAGCAGCCCTGACAGGAAAGCTCTTCCCTCATGTTCTTACCGTAAGGCCAAGGAGTGGAGCAGCTCTGGCCCCACACACATCTCCTGGATCAGCACCAGGTGCCTGGGGCTGACGTAGGCACCCTTCAGCTGGGCTATGTTGGTGTGGTGGAGCTTCCTGAGCACCTGGTACTCCAGCAGCACAGCCTGCTTGTCCTCTTGCCAGTAAGGGATGATTTTAGCAGCCAGAGTTTTGCCGCTCACCTTCTCCCGGCACTGCCGGACGATGCTGAACCGGCCCCTGGTGCAAAGAACACAAAGGCACGTTTAGCTTCTCTCCTGTTCTTTAAAACCTCCAGGATCCCGTGCTGTGCTTTTCATCTGTGCCTGGTGGGGAGTTACTGCATCTACTGTCACAGTTTGCACATCCTCCTGTGTCTGTATTCTGTACAGTCACTTTAAATTACAGGAGTGAGAGTTTAACTCCTCTGGAGAGAGAGGAGAGAGCAAGAGAACTTCTCCTGTTGCCAACAGAAATCAGTGTCTTTCTGTATCTGCAAAGATTGGTGCAGCAAGGACAAGAAATGTTATTAGCCACTGGGCTCATTTAATAATAAATCAATTGGCTGCCCCCTGCCCAGCACATCTGTTGTGACAGGACAAGAGGGGATGGTATCAAAGTAAAAGAGGGTTGATTTAGACCAGATATGAGGAAAAAGTTATTTTTTACAGTAAGGGGGGGTAAAACAACCTGGCCTTGAGCACTTCCAGGGGTGGGGCAGCCACAGCTTCTCTGGACAGCCCATGCCAGGGCCTCCCCACCCTCACAGGTGTCACAGACATGTTTTATGAAAAATCCTTTCCTTGGGATGTTTTCTCCTGAGAAGCTGAGAGGCCTCAGAAACAAAATGTAAACACTGATTATCTGCTACTGTGGAATGCAACAGGTGGATCTGTGATTGGTCTCGTGATTGTTTTTAATTAACAGCCAGTCCAGCTGTCTGGACTGTCTCAGTCAGTCACAAGCCTTTGTTATAATTCTTTTTCTATTCCTTGCTAGCCTTCTGATTAAATCCTTTCTTCTATTCTTTTTGCATAGTTTTAATATAATATATATAATAAAATAATAAATCAAATCTTCTGAAACATGGAGTCAACATTCTCATCCCTTCCCTCATCCTAAGACCCCTGCAAACACCACCACACACAGGGAAGCATTTTTTTCCTAATATCTAATCTAAACCAACTCTTGTTCACTTTGAAGCCATCCCCTTGTCCTGCCCCTAAATCCCCTTATGGAAAGTCCCTCTCCATCTTTCCGGTAGGCTCCCTTCAGGTACTAGAAGGTGCAGTTAGGTCACCCTGAAGTTTCTCTTCTCCAGGCTGAACAACCCCGATTTTCTTAGCCTTTCTTTGTAGGAGAGCTGCTCCATCACATGTGGGATTTCTCTCTGGGTCATGAAGAACTCGGCTGGATTCTCTACCTTTTGATCTCAGTTTGGAAGGCGTAGGTCTGGTAGGTTGGGAAGGGCTCAGGAGGTGAGATCACTTCACTCTCTTCCTCAGGGGCAGCTGATGGGGACTCCTGTGTGGCAGCACGAGGCTCTGCAGGGGGAAAGGGAAAACAGCTTTACATGGGAAAACAGCTCTGTGTGGAAACTGGAGCCTGTCTGAGTCTCCCCTGCTATCTGTGAACAACAACAAGCAGAACTTTCTCCAGGGGACTCTATGTTCCAGCTGCTACTGGAATATATATTGGAATATAGCATCCATTGCTACTGGAATGCAGCAGATTCTGCTCTGTCCACCCCAAAATTCCCTGATATGGCCACTGCAGACAGAATGAGATGGATTCTTTGTTGTGTGCTATGGTATCAAACCTCTTGGCCACTGATTCTTATTTTCTCACACAGCAAATCCTCAGGATATGGTAAAATCTGACAAGAAATTAGAAACTCTAATTAGAAATTAGAAGCAATTAGAAAAATTGTGGTTGGACATTTCAGAGCAGCAGCTGGAACTTGTTGCTCTGGTTCTGGTGTTTGGTTGTATCCAAGCACTCCCTGAAATGCTAAAGCATCCCTTTAAAGCATCTGGTTGGGAAAGCTGAGATATGATAAGAAATCCTGATGAAAAAGGAAAGCAGAGGACTAAGGGTGAGTTAAAAATATCTCTGTGAACTGATTCTTACAGAGCAATCCTCTCCATTGGGAGGAAATTCCAGCTAGAGCATCCTTCTGTCTCTTTACAGAAGGGACATTTCCTCTGCCATGAGGATCTGTTTGCTGTGGGGCATGGACCTCTTAATTTTAAAAACATGTGTGCAGTACAAAGTAGTCAAATGGGTGACAAAAATAGTAAATCAAGATTTCTATACTTCAGAGACAAAATACAGCTGGAAAATTCACCACAGGACAGTAACTCCCAATGGAAGATTCTAGAATAGACAAAATAACTACTGAATTTAGGATTTATTCTGTAATATAAGCAAGTCCAGAGTTTTCACCAATGCAAGATCTGTATCAGTAGATAAATGCCTATAGTAAAACATTTATTGTACAAGACCAATTTCCTCATAATCTCAAATCAAAACTGTCTCTTCAACAGGTAATCTACAGCTCTCAGGCTGTTATTTTATTATTAAATTTTATATATATTATTTTAATAAATAATATGTAGATATTTATTATATTTTATAATATTAAATTTTACATAGTTACACATTGTTTATATTTACACGATGTTATGTTATTGAGCTTTTTAATATGTTTTTACCTATTCCCCTGTGTCCAGAACTAGAAAATAATTAGAAAATAATTTAATTTTAGATGCAAAAGCCCTGAACAACCCTGAGCCAAGAGGAATTGGCCTTGATTCACTTGCTCTTGGCTTCTGGGTCAACAACTAAAAAAATGCAGCGGGTTTGATGCAGGAAAATCCCAAAGTTTTCTGGGTGTTTGGTCTTACCCATCTGATCCTTGGCAGTGATTGTCACTTTGGCAGAGGGGTCACTGTAGGGGCCCATCCCTGCCTTGCTGCTGCAGGCTGTCCTGAAGCTGTAGATGAAGCCCTGGGGGAGATTTCTGGCATAGTAGCAGCAGTCAGTGATGTCAGAAGCAAGAGTTGTCCACTCCCCATCTGAACCAAGAACAGAGAGAAAAGAAATCAGCATTCATTTTAAGGTGGTCACTATGGCTTGGAGGTTTTTTAGATATTTGGGGTTTTGTTGTGGTTTTTTTCCTCTTTTTTTTTTTTTTCCCCACCAGCTTTATGTGCTGGGAATGTGGAGAAACCAATTTGGCCGACTTTGGGGCTCTACCTTTTCTAAAATTAGTTGGTTCATATCTGATAATTCCAAATTGTGCCAATATTGTTCCAGAGGAAAGGTGACATTTTCCTGTATTTTTTCTCTTTATCTAATTCATGCCACCAAACTCTACTGGAAATAGACATCAAGAACTCCAAACAAAACATAATTTTTTTTTCCTGTTGACTCTGTCTTAAATCTAGTTGAGACCATGCGGTGCAGGATTCCTGGACAGAACCATCCACTAACACCATCCCAGCAAACCCAGTGTTTGAAGCATGGGGGTTTTTACTCAGTTTTTATGAAACTCAGATGATTTCTCATGGAACTGGAATTCTAAGTGCATTCTGGACTCATTATTCGTGGGACTAAGTTAGGAAGGAGAAAATTCCCAGCAAACATTTAATCAGCATTCCTCCCACATGATGCCGTGCCCTCTGTGCTCAAGGCTGAACCCAACTCCCTGCAACTGTCTGAGATTAAACCCATCCTTCCATTCAAATAAAATCTGGCAAAGAGCCTCAAACCATTGGATAAGCAGCAATTCCCCACCCAAACCCAAGGTATCAATGATTTTACAGGGTAATGGTTGAATTGGGGGCTCTTTGTGCAAGAAGGAGCAGATAGAGATTAGAAATTGGGAAAAATATGTGCAGAAGCAGCATAGAAAAGCCTGTTTTCAAATAATAGATAAAAAAGGAATTTATTCCTGATTATCTTAACGTTCCTGTGTTCAGGAGAGCATATTTTGCAAGTTCCTGCCAAATAAACAGAACACAGTGGAAAATATAGATGCTGTTCCACATTTCTCTTCCTAATTGGAAGAATTTGTGTTTGTATCTTCCCCAAAATCTCTCCTACAGTGGTGTTAAAATGAATAATGATAAAGAAAGTGGTGTTGAAGGGAAAGTGACTCACACCAGCTCCAGAGGGAAAGGGCAGAAAGCTGCTGCCCATGCTAATCCAAAAGGGAGTGTTCAGGTGTTTGTTTGTTTGTTTGTTTGGAGAATTAAGTGAAAGAACAGGGAGCAGCAGAATCCAGGCTGTGTTTGTGTGGCTGCAGCAGGAATTGCTATCAGACATCACACTCATAATAACAACAGCAAATCCACCCCAGGAGAGACAGGACAGCCTTGGGGATTTGATACAAAGCTTTTGTAACTAAACAGGAAAACATCCACTTTTGACAAGGGCAGATAGTGACAGGATGAGTGGGAAGGGCTTTAAATTGTGAGAGACTTAGATTAAATGTCAGGAAGAATTTATTATTCAGAGGGTGGTGAGGCCCTGGCACAGGGTGCCCAGAGAAGCTGTGGCTGCCCCTGGATCCCTGGAAGTGTCCAAGGCCAGGCTGGACAGGGCTTGGAGCAGCCTGGGACAGTGGAAGGTGTCCCTGCCCATGGCAGGGGGGCTGGAATTTGGTGGTTATTAAGGTGCCTTCCAACCCAAACCATTCCATGATTAAATGATCCACTGACTTTCGGCAGCCTCTGGACCAAGCCTCAAAAGAGAATGTCAGAGGGGTGATGCAGTTTTGGCAAACTTTGGTTATTTTGTCCTGGCTCTTTGCCCTGAGCTTCCTCCACAGTCAATGGAAAAAGAAAGCACAGCTGTTCAGCAGAGGATAAACTGCCTGTTTGATAAATCATTTTTCTCCAAGACTGTACAGAAAACCTGAGCCTGGGATGATGTTGTTTCATTAGTGTCTCATTTTGTCAGATTACTCGGAGTTTATATCAGATTATATCAGACCAGGCATTTTCCCCTGTAGCTGCTCACTTTTTGCTTGTAGCTTCCACACAGCCTTGTTTGATTCATACTTTAGCAAAGCCTAGGTATGAACATGCAAATTTCAGGCTGATTTAACCAGCACAACCCCTAACTTTTAGATTGTTAAATGATAGCTGTATGAATCCCATTCCTAACTCTAAACTGGGGAGTTAAATAAGGCTATTTCTGAATAACAATAAAATATCCAGCTGGTGAAGAGATCATACAAACCAAGATGTCCCTTGCAAAGCAACAAGACAGCACTTTACCTTCAGTCTTGCACTGGACAGTGTAGTGGACAGGGGTGTTGGTTTCCACAGGTTTCCAAACCACCTGCACTCCATCCTTGTAGACCTCCACGATGTCAGGGGGTGGAGGGCTGGGGGGAACCTCTGTGGAGAGGAGGCACAAAGCCCATGAGTGTTGACAGCAGCACTGCTGTGATACAAAACTCTACACCCAGCATGTCTCAGCTCCAGATATTATTTATATATATACATATACATACATATAAAACATGTATATGTTTTTATGTATACATATATATACACACAGCTAGTGGAACAGCAATTTTAACATCTGTAATTTAAACACAGTACTAAGATTTTGTCTTGGAGTGGCTCTTAATCCAGGAGAGAAAGAGTGAAGAAGAGGGAATGAACCCTGCACAGTCTGTGAATCACAGCAAGGGAGAAATCTTCCTCTGCACCCATGTGCAGAAATTTCACCTCAAAGGTATTGATAGGTTACATTTTTGGGGACAAAATTACTTAAATACCTATTTCTGTAGCTACCCCTTCTCTCACCTGCTTTTCTTATGACACAAGAGGTGGATGCTGAGCCCAGAGAGTTTGTGGCCACACAGGTGTAAATACCAAAATCCTCAGCATTAACAGAGAGAATTGTTAACAGCTGGAAGTGTTTGAGCGTGGAGGAGATGAGGATCCGGCTGCTGCTCTGGACAGGTATCCCATCTGGAAAGCAGGAGATGGGAGGGATAAGTACCCTGCAGATAATACCAAGGGGTAATTGTAGGCCCTGTCCTGAGGGTCAGGGGCTCTCTGGAGGGATGGCAATGTCACCTCTGAACCAGCTGATGTGCAGGGAGGAGTGAGGTGCAGTCCGGCACGAGAGCGTCACGCACTGTCCGGCGGCCGCAGCCTGGTCCGTGAGCTCCTCAGTGAACGATGGGGCTGCAGAGAGGAGGGAAAGGGGGATTCAGGGCCTGGAGGGCTTGGTGGAAAACAAATCCCTGCAGAACATCAGAAAGCTTTTTTAATGTGGTCAAGAACCTTTCTGGTTCATGGTGTGTCCCATTCCTTTGACCACCATTTGGAAAATGCCCTGAGCACAGAGCACACAGGTGAAGGAGCCCTGTTCACCCATGGATGTGACAAACCAGATGGATCTTGGAAAATCCATGGGGAATATCTGCATTGCCCAGCCCTGGTACAAAAATAAATCCCCGCAGGACATCAGAAAGCATTTCTAATGGGATCAAGAACCTTTCTGGTTCATGGTGTCCCATTCCTTTGACCACCACCATTTGGAGAATCCCCCAGGCACAGAGTGCACAGGTGAAGGAGCCCTGTTCACCCAAGGGTGTAGTGTGACAGATCCAGATGGATCTTGGAAAATCCACGGGGAATACCTGCATTGCCCAGCCCTGGTACAGCTAAAGCAGCAAAACAGCTCAGAGCAGAGAGAGACCCTGTCACATCAAGGGTTTTCCTCTGGTCACACCTAAATGTGGGGGCAAAACTGAATTATGGAATTTTGAGGATGAGGGGATCAAACCGGACAAGAGGAAATGGCCTCCAGTTGCCTCAAGGGAGGTTTAGTTTGGGTATTAGGGAAAATATCTTCATGGAAGGTGTTGTCAAGGACTGGAGGAGGATGCCCAGGGAGTCACCATCCCTGGAGGGATTTAACAGATGTGTGACACTTGGGGACATGGTTTTGTGGTGGCCTTGGCAGTGCTGGGGTAATGGTTGGACGCAGTGAACTTAGAGGTCTTTGCCAACTAAATGATTCTCTGATTGAGACAACACAAGAAGAGAGAAGGAGACATGAAAGATGGATATTGAAGAAGAAAAAAACCCTGTAGAGCATTAAATCTGCTCCTATCTCCATGGGAAAGGGGGAATTCAGGTTTTCTTCTGTGTTTCTCCACAGTGGCCGCCAGCCTCCCACAGTTGCCACAGCCTCCCCAGCTGCCCTTCCCAGTGTTTGTCTGGGCTCTGCTGAATGCTGGGACAGTAACATGACCTCAGAAAATGCTCCTGATGGAGCCAAGGGGAAACTTGTCAGGGATAAAGCAATTTTTTCCTGAATCACCCTCTGGAGGTAGAACAAACCAGTGACTCCTGCCACAGCAATACCTTTCTCCTTTGGGATGAGGCTTGGTAGCTTGAATGAAGGGAGTGCTGATTTCCTCTTCAGAGATCCTTCAGCCCCTATTAACAGCTCCTTTTCTGCTGTCTCACTTCCCAGCTCACCAAACTCTGCTGTGAGAAAGGATGAAATGTCATTCAAGGCCACCCTTCTCCCCATGGCATCTATTTGCAGTGACTGTTCTGCCTTCACACATAAACAGTCACAGGTTCTCTTATTAACCAGCATTTGATTAACAGGGAAGCCTGTGGCAGCTGCTGCAAACAGAACAGAGTCCTGGAAGAACAGGGAATATCCAGGGATGGCAGAGAAGAAAGGACAGATCCCCATGTTCAGTAACCAGGGTGACTTCAGCTTCTCCCAGCCACTGAGGGATTTGCCATGGTCAGATGACAAGTGCAGCAAGGAAAGCATCACCCAGCCCTGCTCTGCTTCTGTGCCACCTCAAACAGGAATTTGAGCCTCTTCCATCAGTGGATTAACCCAGCTGACTGCCCTGAAGACAGCCAGTAACAGAGACCTGATGGTGGAAACTGCTGAATTCAGAACCTGCCACAGCCAGATTTACAATTCTGGTCTAACCACAGCTTCAAACATGCTGGGGGAAAAAGGGCAGCTGTAGCAGAGCCCAGTTATGGCAGCAAATCTGTAAAGGAACAGAGGGAAATACTTACCTTCCTCTGGCTCAGGAGATGTCTTTCCTTTTAGGATTCTTGAAATGTGGGCAACAGAAGCTTTTACTTTCTTCTTCAGACTCTGCTCCACTGACTGCTCCACTGAATGAGACCTTGCATATGGCTTAAAGAGTCCAGGCTTGCTGTGGAAGGAGCTTTTCTGCTTCCCACTGGAGTCCTTTTGGGAGCTATACATTTCTTTATGGCTCTCTGCCCCTTTCCCCATGGCTAATAAGTTAGCTGTCTTTGAATCCTCAGATATTTCCAAACGGTTCTTCCTGTTCTTGTCTTCCTGCTCCCTGATGCACAGTCTTTTATCCTTATGGAGATGTCCTGCAGGAGGGGACCTTGCCCTTTCACCAAGGAACATGAACCTTCTAGGAACTGGTTTGGGTGAAGGCTTCTTATAGCTCAGAAACTCAAATGGGAAATAAACAATGTCGTACAAATCTGAGAAATTCAAATAGGCAGGCTCCACTTCTGAGATGTCAAATTTCTGGGGGCCGCTGCCAACACTGGGTGTTTCATCTGACAGGTCTTTGATTTTCACTAAAGAGACTTCTGGGTGTTTGCCAGTGTCCTTGATTACTGGGATGGGTCTTCTTGCAGTGTCCAAGCTCTCTGTGGAGGAAAGGCTCTCTGGGCTGGAAGGTGAGGTCTCAAATGCCAAGTCCTCCAAGTGCTCACATTCATGAGGAACTGTCTGTGCTCCCTGCTCTTCCAGGACACCTGGCTCCTCACTCACAGCAAGGCAGGGTTCTGCAAAGTCATCCTGTTCAGCAACTTCTCCTTTTCCACCCTGTTGGACTGAAGGGAAGGAGCTGTCCATGTGTGCCTGGCTGCCTTTGTAGGACATCCCTCTGGGAGGAGAAATGTGCCTCCTGCTTCCCTTCTCTCCAGAAACTGACTCTGCCCAAACATTCATCTCCTCAGAGAGGGAAACCATCTCATCCACCAAGCCCTCCAGTGCAGCAGACTCCTCATCACTGTAAAAAGAAGATCTGTGGTGTGACAGCTCCTGGCCATGGTGATCCCTGCGGAGCAGTGGTGGGGCAGCTTCTCCAGCATCACTTCTTCCACTTTCAAAGGCGATGCCTCCATCCTCACCATAACCCTCTGGATATTCCTCATATACCAGTTCATAGGCTGCAGCTGGAGCAATTTCTGATTGTGAAGCATTTAATGCACCTGAACTGCCACTCTCCAGACCATCTGAAATCCCAGCCCTGTGCTGCTCAAGCACCCCATGTCCAGCCTTGGGGAAAGGAGCAGCCACAGCTTGTCCAGCTGCTCGGCTTCCAGTTGCTGTCACAACAGATCTCATCTCCCTGTGAACTGACACCTCTGGATGTTCTTGATTTTCACCCTCCCAGGCCTGAGGGAGGGCAGTGCTTTGGGAGGAGGCAGCTCTGGCTGGGTGTCTGCTCTCCAGAGCAGCAGGCTCGGAGCCGTGGCCTTCAGGAACCTTCTGGGGCACAGCTCCTTCATGGGCCAAACTGGAAACAACCCCTGGGACAGCTGAACTTTTACTCCTCAGAGCAGCAAGTTCCTCCTTGCTGAGAGCCTGCTGTGCTCCATCAGAGACCAGAGCTGATCCTGGTGGTGGGATTTTGGAAGCAGTGAGCTGCTCTCCCTTCAGGACACCTGCTGCTGTGTCTGAGTGAACAGGAGCCTTCTTGTGTGCTTGGCTTTCACCACTGTGGACTGATGGCAGAGTGATTCCTGTAACAGCTGCTTCTGCTTCTTCCAGGACAGCAGATCTCATGTCTTTATGGCTCTTCAGCTTCTGAGGAACACCTTCACCAGCTGTGAGGGTACCTGGCTGCTTGCCCAGCGTGACAGTAGCTGCTGGAACACTTTTCCCAGGAATTTCCTCACTTTTGTCTTTACATACTGGAAGTGATTCAGTTTCTGTTTGTTCTGTTGGAGCAGCAGAGCTTTCATGCTCCATGAGTTCAGATTCAGCAGTGCCATGAGCGGAAGTCTTTTCATCTGAGTGTTTCTGCCTTTTGTCTTTCCAAGGTGGGGCTGGGGCTGTCCTTTTGACAAGCAAGCTTCCACCTGTTAGATCTGGGTGGCTGTCAGTGGGACCAGATTCCTGAGGCAGAAGCACACCTCCCTTACTTGGAGGAGAAGACTTTGGGATGGTCTCTGACTGTGTGAGGGTTGAAATGGACTCTTTGCCCTCCTGAAAAGCAGAGTCAGAGGCATGGCTAGGGGCAGATTTACCCTCTGTGCTCTCCTGTTTTGGAGCTGATGGTGCTGTTACATCTGAGCACTGGGCAGCTGGAATGGGGCTTTTCTCTTCCAAACATTCAACGTCCTCCTCAATCTCAGTGGCTTTTGACTTCTTCAGTAAATGCTTCTTATTCTGACTCCTGTGAGGTGACACTGGAAGTCCCTCTACGTGTTGTATGACAGCAGGTGGGCACCCATTCCCCTCACAGTGTGTGGAGGGAGAGGGTTTCTCTCCTGAGCAATCCTTGCTGGCTCTCCTGACATCCCCTTGCTCTGCCGTGCCCGCAGAACATCCCTTGTCAGCCCCTGGAGAAACATCACAGTGATCACTGCCTTCAGGGCAGCTTTCCTGGGACAACACATCACAGTCCTCCTCCAAAATCTCTTGTTCCCTCAGGGATCTGGAGGATCTCAGCCTGTAGTCATCCAGGGAGCGGCTGCGGCTGCCACCAGCAATGGCAGGGTGTGGGGGCTTCCTGGCCGTGTCAAACGACGCGGATTTGGTCAAGGATCCCAGCAGAGCTTCTCTGCGATCATCTCCTCCTTCTTCTTCTTCTTCCAGTTCAAACTGCTCAAGGAGGGGTTCTCGGAGGCCACTGAGGGGCACCTTTGAATAGCCAGCCTTCCTGAAAGTCCTCCTGGCTCTGTCCAGGTGCCTTCTGAACTCCCGGCCTGGTGACAAAGGCGGCCGCGCAGGCAGCTCCGTTGCTTGGCTGTAGAAGGTGCTTTTAATGACACTCTGCCTGGGAACAAAGGCAGATGGCTTCTCTGCCCCATCCCCTGCCTCTTCACCTCTGTCCTTTTCAGATGAAGCTGTGTCTGGCTTTTCTCTCTGATGCACAAGTGATGTGCTTTCTGTGGAAGCCCTCAGGGATGAAGGCTCAGCAGCGCCACTTTTATGGGATGGCTCTTCCCGAAGGCTGGGAAGAAGCCTCTCCTCTTTCTCCTGTAAGACACCTGCCATGAGCTCTTTGCTTTCTGTGGGTGATTTATCCCCCACCTCAGCTTTCATTGAAGCATATTTCCTCCTCATGGGTTTTACTGGAGGGATGGAGCTTTTGGAGTGCTCCCGTTCACTCGCACGTTTCAGAGGCTCGGGATGGCTCGGGGCGTCAAATACGGGCAAGTGCAGTTCAGGGGTGGAGCCAAAGTGCTTCTTTTGGGGGAAATTCGAGTTCTCATTGTCTGAAGAGGAGCCACTGGTGCTGGATGAAGTGCTTTCCTCAATGAGGTGTCGGGAGATGGCCAGGGAGCTGTTGTCATGGGTCCTTTCCAGGATTTCTGGGATGGACCTCATCACCAGGATGGATTTGTAGCACATCAGGGAGCGCTGAGAAGGAAACACAACACAGCACAAGGAGATGGGAACATGGTCAGAGTATGGAAAGCAAACACAGCAAAATGAACTCCTGCACCCATGAGTCTAACTAGACACTGCCACCCTCTGAAAATGTCACCAATTCAGGCTTCATTTTCTCTCCAAATCTTCCTCTTCACTGATGGGACATTAAATTGATTTTAGGGAACACACTTGCTTTGGTGACTGGGAGGAAACAGGACTTTGTTTGAAATTTCCAAAGTCAATCTGGCCACTCAAAACAGATGGAAAGGAGTTTTTCATGGAAAACATCAGATGAGAGACTTGCTGCAGGAAATGGTTTTAAATCCTTTGACTGCAATACAACCTACAGTGACTCAGGTCAGCAGAAGACCTACCAAGTGTAGGAGATGGCATTCCTCTGCTCTAAATTCTGCTATGTGGGACATCTCAGTTGAAGCTAGGCCTCTCCTTCCAGCCAGCAGAGAGAAACTGGCATGTTCAGTAGGCAATCAATCCAATTATTTGAGAGAACTTCAGGAAAAGAGACATTTTCTTGTCACCTGTCTATAATTCAGCTCCAATTGCAAAGGCAGCTGAGGGCACCTAACTCAGGCACAACCTTGTGTCTTACAGGCTCCTGCATGGTTTTCCAGGCAGTAAAAGCCTAGATAATTAATTCCTGACACATCCATCTCTCCTGGGCTTTTTCCCAACTCCCAGCCACGCTCAGATCTCTGCTGAGCTCGCTGTCCTAGCCCAAAAAAAATTTTCAAAGATTCAGATATTAAATTATCAGTTATAATATTAAATTATTCAGCAATTAAAAATATATATAACTAAACAGAATCAACACAGATTAGGGGCAACTCACCTGCCACTTGCTCCGAGCCACAATGAATTTGAGCTGTTTGGTGTTAATGAAATGGGCTGCTTCAAGAGGGACGTTGTGCTGCCAGGTGGAATGAGAGGAAAACCACTGGTTAAAAAATACTGATTTCATTTCTTGAGGTGTCTTTGTGAGGTTTTTTAAAGAATTCTCTCTTTACACAATTGTTTAATTTAGGAAAGTTACAGTAGATCAAATGCTGCAGTTCTTTCATAGTTAAATTTCAGACAGAATGAGCTTTTCAGTGATTAAATCAGAACCTGTTCAATATCTGTCATTAAATTATTTTTGCTGTTAGCAATTTTTGACTCTTTTCCTTAGTGATTTAAGGCTTTGGAATATAAACTTTGGTCTGCAAGGCCAGTTTCCTTTCTGTACTCATGTAACAGAACAAGAGGGAATGGCCTCAGGTTACACCACGGAGGTTTAGATTGGATCTTAGGGAAAATTGACAAGTAAAGGACCAGGACAAACTTACCATGAACCATTTGTGGGAAAGACAGTCCAAAGCACTTGGCCTGGATCTGGTAAGAGAACAGATTGACATTTTAGTAGGAAATCCCCTCCAACATCAATCACTGATCTTCGTGAAGGTTCTTCTGCATGCAGACACCCATGTACACTCAGGGCTGTGTCCTTGGGATGCAGATTTGGAGCAGAGAAGCCAAAAAGACACACAGCAGCTTCCAACTCAAGGTTTCCTTCCCCTGAGGGGAAAACATCCTCCTTTTTCAGCCTGACACTCCCCACAGATGCTCAGGAAGAGCTCCTGGCTCTTTGCAGGAACCCAAAGGTGTCCAGAGCAGCTCTGAGTGCCTTTGCCTCTTTAGGTGGCCAGAGTGAAAATAGCTTTGGCAGCAGGCAGAAAGAGTAGGAATGAAATTAAAACCAAATGCCTGTAAATATGCCTTCAAGCCAACTTTTGTACTTGAAATTGCTTAATGAATGTGGTCAATGTTATTTAATTCCCTCAGTACCAGTCTGTGCTCTTCCCACTCATCTGTGTCATTCCAGAAACTCCTCAGCCTGGGGGAGGCAGGGAGCAAAGACATCATCACACCAGGGAGAGGCCAATTTAGCAAATATCCGAGTTGTGGGTTGGGTAATGGGGAATAATGAGGAAGAATTAGGGAAAAATGCCACACATCTCACTCAGCTTTCTACTTTTCAAAGTAGAAAAGACTTTGAAATAGCTCAAATAGTGAGCTGGGATGTGGCTGCTGAGACACCAGCAGCTCTGCACAGAGGGAGGCACAGGAGGACACTCACTTGGGGTGCTGCTGCAGGATCCCTTTCATGAAGTCCTTTGCATCTTCACTCAAGTGCACAACATCAGGAATGGTCCATGAAATTTCCCCGTTCTGGATGTTTAGGAGAGTTTTCCTGTCGTTCTCCCCAGCAAATGGAGACTTGCATGTGAGGCTTATTTATTGAACACCATAAAATGAAAGGAGACAGGCTTTAGGTTTCTGTTTTCTGTTCAAATGATAGAAGCACAAGTGCTTACACTGAGTTTTTAAATACTTGAGGGGCTCCATGCCTGGGACTTGCAATGTTCATGAGGAGAAACCAGGAAACGAGGAAACCACAAAATAAATTGTATTTATTATGGAAGGACTGAATGCTCCACTAAAGTCCCTCATTTGAAAGTGCTGGAGGGCTCTGATGGACAAGGGGTTATTGAGAGAATGTTTCCAAGGTTTATTTACCTTAAATACGTGATGACTCCAACAGCCCTGAGGAGAGAGGGAACACAAATGTTATTTTTGTCACTAATTTTCCATCCTTCTCAAGCCCCTCTTCCTGCCACTGAAACAGCAAGATCACCTTCTCCTCACCTTTCAATAATAATAAATCCCAAAAGCTATTTATTGATTTTTTTTCCATTTCCATTAATTTTCCCCCTTCAATATATTTTTAATTTTTCCCAAGCAATCCTTAATTTTTAAAGCACAGATAGAGGAAAGGACTCAAAATAATTCTTTTTTTTTTTAACTTTTTTGCCTTTTCTAGAAAGCTCTTTAGGATTATTTCTTTTAGTTGCTGCCTGAAATAGAGATCATCTCCTCCAAGATGCTTCTTTGCATTAATTAGCAGTCAGAGTTCAATTATGGCTGAAAAAAATTAGACAGAAGGAGCTTTAAAGAGCCTTGATGGCTTTTGTATTGTCAGCGTTCACTTTCTGTTTCCTGTGTTATAGTCACTGCTCCATTTACTAATTACCAGCTAATGGAAATTCAGGCCATTGAGGGCCTGGAAAAGCTTTTTGGGAAAATGAGAGATTACCAGATATCAGTTGCTTTTGACACTGGTGACTGGGAAACAATTTCTGGGGCAACAAACTCCGGAGAGCCGTATTTGCTGTACTGGGGCTGCACGGGCGTGATCCTCTGGGCAAACCCAAAGTCACAGATCTTCAGGTCTTCCCTCTCAGGATAAACCATGAGGATATTCAGTGGCTGTTAAATGGGGGAAAAAAATAAAATAAAAAAAAAAAAAGGGAATTTTTTCATGAGAGCAGGGAGTATTTTCAGTTGTAAGAATAATTCAGAGAACACCCAGTCACTGGCCAACACGTTCATTACCTTGATGTCCAAATGAAGGATGTTGTGGTCATGAAGATATTTGATTCCTTCCAAAATTTGCTTGATGTACAGTTTGACCTGAGAATTGAGTCCATCATTAAACAATTAATAAATGAACAATTATTAAACAGGGAGAGTAAATGGGAGAGTCCCTGATTTCACCAAGATTTGATCTTTAAAGGTCCCTCCCAGCCCAAAACAATTCTATGATGTTTCCCTCTGAGAATTTCTCCAAAAAAAATTATTTTACCAATAAATATTGGGCACCTAGCTACTAGATGGGAGATGTGAAACATTTTGAACTTTTAGCACCAAGGATGTAAAAGAAATCCCTTAGAAACCATAACTTCAACTTTTCTTTTGAGGACAGAAAGGGAGTAGATAGAGTACAGTTACAGGGGGATAAAGTGATAGAGTGGTACTAAATAAGGGGAGATAAGAGCTCCAGATGACAGATAGCAAGGAAATTATGACAAGAGAGCAAATATAATAATTTTTATTTTGGCTGAATGTAATGCTGATCATCAAACCCCCTAGCTGCTTGTAGTTATTCCCAAAAAAACCCAACTAGCAATGAAAGTTGCCAGGAACACATTGTAAAGGTTGATTCTGCTTTGATGGATTATCACTGGTTCAAAGACATTTTTCATATTCCAAAAGAAAAATGCAGAAAGAACTGACTGTACTTTCAAATGAGAAATTACCTCAGCTTCAGTGACCACGCTCTTCTTGAATAAACGATCCAGGAGCTCCTCATTGGAGCATCTGACAGTGGCATTAAGGGACAACAGAACCATGTGGAAAAGCTTATTTTAACTCTGGAGCCTCCTCCATCCAGCCAACAGCAGAATTCACGAGGTGATCTCAGGCTATGGGATCATCATGGGCTTTGGGATCATCATGGGCTGCTCTAAACCTGGTGCCACTTCTGCTAAAATCTGCCTGCTGATTTTGGGGTTTCTGGTCTGCATTTCCCTCATGCTCACCTGGACTGGATCTCATGGAAACAGAGCTTATAACTTCCAGATGTTTCAAAATTATTTTGTTGTTTAATGTCTCATTCACACTTGTATATACAAGTTTGATTTTTCTCACCCAGCAGAAGCTGAGGATTGCAGTGGAGCTCTAACAGAGCTGTGCTGCCCTGCAGTGCAGAGAAGAATTGTGTGTGCCCTTTTCTCTCAGGCAAAACAAAAAAAAAATTATTAATTACTTAGATATTTCATAAATGAGCTCTACCCAGTATTTCCCAGCCTCTTCCACAGACAACTGCACAGAAAAGGATACAACTCCAGAATCAAAATCAGTGTTTTTCGTGTCTCAAACTCATCCAGGAGCCTGGTAATTCTGTCGTGGGACAGAGAGGCAAGAATATCCCTCTCCTGATGAGCTCTGGACTTGGTTTTGCTCCTCAGAGGGATGAATTTGGCAGCACAGGACACCCTGTTCCCTTTGTGCACCACCCGTTTCACGAAGCTGAAGCAGCCCCTGTGCAGGAATGGAAGGACAAGCCCCGATCAGACCTGGGCAGAGATTTCCCCCCAGTCTGGCCTTTGACAGCTCCCTGCTGCTCTGTGCTTCAGTTCTCCAGCACGAGAAGCTTGTTTTGCTGTGTGTGAGGTGCTGTTGCCCTCTCCTGGCTGTCTCCAAAGGGAAGCAAGGTGTTCCCATCGAGGGAAAAGCTGCTGCAGGCTCGTGCTGGTGCTCCTGCATCCCTTGGACAGACTGATGTGACAGGCTTGGGATGCTCCTGTTGCCAAGAAGCCACATCCAGGCACTAATCTGTGAGCCTTTGGATGGTTTTTCTGCTTGAAGCTGCCCCAGCACACCTTGGAGTGACATCCCACTTCTGCCTTTATTTCCAAATTCTCAGGACCCACCTCTGCCTCAGCAGCTCAGATGGGCAATGAGAATTCCCTGGCTGTAGAGTTGGAAAATTCATTTACCTTCCAATCTCCTGCTTAACCTCATAATGGGAGTGGAGCTTTCTCCTGGTGGCCACTTTCTTTCCTTCTTGGTCTTTCTTAACTGTGGAAATGAAGAAAAACAAAAGGGTGAATATTCAGACAACAGTGCCTTGCTAAGAGAGTGCAAGGTTGTTACAGGACAATTTAAGGTAGGAAAAATTAGAGGGGTCTTCTAAACTTCTAAGGAGAATTAAGTGGAGTTGTTTGGTAAGAAGCATGTGTTAAAATTAACTTTGGGGATGCCCAGAGATGTGGCTGCCCCATCCCTGGGAGTGTTCGGGCTGGATGGGGTTTGGAGGAACCTGGGATAGCAGAAGGTGTCCCTGCCCATGGCAGGGGGCTGGGATTAGAGCATCTTTAAGGTTCATTCCAACCCAAACCATTTTGGGATTTTGTGATTTGATTTTATCCTGGATCCTGCCATACCGGCCGTTTATAGATACTACACAGGAACACAGAACAGATTCCATACAGATACCAGAACATGACAGGAACAAATGACACACTGCCATGGCAGTGGAGGCAACTCCTGCAGCTGAGAGGGTGGCATTGCCCTCAAAGGTGACAGGGTGGCATTGCCCCCACACGTGAGAGGGTGGCACTGCCCTCAAAGGTGACAGGGCGGCATTGCCCTCACAGGTGAGGGGGTGGCATTGCCCTCAGAGGAGAGAGGGTGACATTGCCCTCACAGGTGACAGGGTGACATTGCCCTCACAGGTGACAGGGTGACATTACCTTCACGTACGACGAGCTCTGCTTTGCACAAAACCTCCCCTCCTGCATTTTTGGCAACACAGGTATAAACACCACCATCTTCCAGAGCAGCATTGTCCACAACTAAGAAATAAGTTGTTCCTTCCCTCCCCTGATGGATCCTGTCACTGTCTGTCAACAGTGAAGTGCCCTGAGGGAAGGAAATGACATTTTGGCACTGGGAAAGCCAAGATGGAAACAGATGTTTCTGCTCTTCTGATGCCTCAGGTTTAGCTTTTATGTTTTCAGATTCTGTGCTGCTTTAGTGTGTGGGTCTGAGCTCCACATCAGGGCATGGTGAGCTCTGTGCACAGAGCAGGGAGACAAAACAATTCCTGCTCCAGCTGGACACCAAGGACAAATGATCCAAATCTCAGCCCAGGAGCACAAACCCCGTGGGCTGGAGAGAGAAAAACAAGCAGGGTGGGACTGCCTGGGCTAAAGCTGGAATGGGACAATGAACTGCAAGGTGCAAATGGAGCAGAACTGATCCCAGGGAGAGAGCCCGGGAGCGCTCGTGCATTTTGGGGCCATTTTGGTTCATCTTGGGTGCAGCCCTGGCTGGGCTCTGGTGCTGCCCAAGGTGCATCCATGGAGGCCTTTGAATAAATCCCTGCTTTATTCTTTAGTTCTGTCCAGTCTCTGTTCCAGGCAGCCTTCTCAAGGCATCACTTCAAAAGCAAGATATGGGAGCAGAGCTACAACCCTGACTATTTATGTGAGGAAACCTCATGGAGAAAATGCTGCCCAGGGGAGGGGTGGAGTCACCATCCCTGGAAGTGTTCAAGAAACAACTGGATGTGGGTCTGGTTGAGAAGGTGGTGTTCTGTCAGAGGTTGGGCTCAGTGACCTTGGAGGTCTTTCCAACCTTAATGGTTCTGTGATACTGGATTTTTTTCATAAATGCTATGAAGAAAGGGGCAGGATGGAGTATGTGTGACACAGAGCAGATTGTGAGCAATTGCAAAAGGTCCCTATGACAGAAAAATGCAAGATAAAAACATATACTATAATATGTACATATATGTATATTATACCACAAATATGAAGTGACGCAATCCTGTTTTCCCACATAAAATCTCTGTTTCTAAGGTTTTCCTTAAAAAACTGTAACAAAAATTTAAGTCGGAGTAAATCACTCCACAGCAGCACCAGCTCAGTGCTTGGTGGGAGCTAAAAGGTACCAGATACTAGAAATTATTAGGGAAGAAATGAAGGATAAGACACAGAGTATAATTTGATAAATGCTTGGTTTGCCCATGATGTGGCACTATTTGGTACATCATCATCATCAATGTCCTCTGTAAAAGCCTCAGGATGAGTATATTGACAGCAGACTGGGGCTCTTCAGCCTGGAAGGGAGGCTCTAGCAAGATATGACAACAATATTCTAAGGGATAATAAATAATTTCTCTCCCTTCTATAGAATATTCATTGTCCTTAGTCACATTGACTTTACTAAGTAGTTACAGGAAAGATACAGAGCCTGGAAGTCACAATAAACCTGAAAATTGGGATAAACCACTCAATCCCATTCCTGCCCCCAAACTGCAGCACACATCTCAGTGGCACTCAGGTAGAAACAATTTCTCTTCCTGCTCTTTTTGGTCCCCAAAACCATCCCTGTGTCACCCTCTCTGCAGGGTGACACGGTGACAACACAGGGAGGGATGCACAGGTGGTGGTTCAGTGGGAACAGCTGGTTCCACAAACTCTGCAGACACAATCCAGAGTCAGTGTGAGAGGTGTGGGAGGAAAAAACGGATTAAATTCCCTGTGGAATTGTGCACTACAGTCCTGACTCTCAGCCAGGAAAGAGTCTGCACTCACCTTGAACCACAAAACTGTGGGCTGAGGGGTTCCTTCAATGACTGCCTGGAATTTGGCACGTTCCCCAGAGTTCACCTGCACATCCTCTATTGTCACTTGCATGTAAGGAGGACCTGGAGAAAAAAGAGCATTTGCTGCATGCAAGTGAAACTGAAACTTCTTTCCCAGCGTGCTGACAGAGTGAAGTTACTCAATGGGATTTATAGGACAGGCCATTTAGGATGTAACAGTAGTTTAAAGTCAAATCAAGAGGTACAACAGCAATGTATTTGGGGTTTTTCATGTTGATATTACTTTTAGGCTTCTTATCTTCAAATTTACCTATTATTTTTTGTTTAATAAACAGTTACCACTCAAATTTTTTTAAAAAAATTTAACTAAGAAAAAATTAATTTTAAAAATTCAAATTAAAAAGCCAAAACAGCCAGGAATTGTTACCAAAAGAGAAGACAGTGAGAATCATGGGACTAGGAAAGGGAAACAGGGTTTGGTCTTACTTGTTGGAGTCTTCTCCTCAGTCTTATACACTCGAGTTCTTTCTGTGGTCTCGATGTAAACTTCACTGTGCACGTCCCAGACCACATCTCCTTCTCTCCTGTACCAGCCTCCTGCCCCTGCATCTGGGGATGTTCTTTGGAGAAACCCAAGAGAAAAGATCATGACATAGCCACATACAAGAGGTGCAGGATTACACCCTGCCATTGATCTGTTTAACCAGCAGACAAAGAGTTATCTGCTTAAAATTAATACAGGAAGAATTTTATTTTGGGGTGGGATTAATTTCTCTCCGACATTTTTTTGCCCTTCTTTGACAAAGCACTGTCATCAGGATTCTGAAAATAATGGTAAACCTACAAGAAACTGTTTGGGTCCACCACAGAGGACTTGCTTTCCTTGCACCAAAGTCAGAAATCCACGCGGATATCCTGGACATGTGGAGGTGGGTATTTATTTACCTGTCAATGGGAACAGTGCGTTCCCGAGTGCTTCCCCCTCCAGAAGCCTCCTCTTCCCTGGAAGGAGCAGGGCTGGGCTTTGGCACCCCTGGTTCTTCAGCTGGAATCTCCCTTTGCGCTTTGGCTGGCAGCAGAAATTGGGCAGGTTAGACATGCCACCCATGAGATTACACCCAAACCCCAGAGCCAACCTCTGGAGACATCCCTGGTGTGCCTCGTGCCAGAACTGAGCCCACCTGAACTCAGCTGGGTGCAGACACTGAAAGTTCGAGGAGAATTTGGCATTTTAGCAAAGAGCACACAAAGCAAAGGGGTTGGGCAGCACCAGAGTGGTGGCACTTGGCTGACTGGGCTAAACTGACTGTTCTGTAAGGAAATGCACACAGACAAAGGTGGAAAGGCAGCTGGTAGGGACAGGGAAATAGAGGTGAGCTGGAAGGATGGTGTGGGTTAACACAGCCTTTTAGGATAATTTAACCATGTCTGAATTCTGGCTCATGGCTGTGAGGAAGTCATGGAATCACAGAAGCATCCAGGTTGAAAAAGACCTTTAGAAACAAGTCCAGCCATCAACAGCACTGCCAAGTCCATCTCTGAAATGCATTCCAGGGAATAACCCAGTGTTAGCTTTGTCCACATGAATTCTTCCATTCAGCTTTGTGTTAGAACAGTTCCTAACTCCCTGCTGTGATCACAGACAGCACCAGGGACAGGAGTGAGTTCACATCCATGAGAGCTGGTGGCCAGAGCAGGTCCTGGCTGAGGATATTCACAGCATTTCCAGAATGACCAGGTTGGAAGAGACCTTCAAGATCATCGAGTCCAACCCAGCCCCAACACCTCAACTCAACCCTGGCACCCAGTGCCACATCCAGGCTTTGTTAAACACACCCAGGGATGGGGACTCCACCACCTCCCCAGGCAGCCATGCCAGAACTTTATCACTCTTTCTGTAAAAACTTTTCCCTGCTATCCAGCCTGTATTTCCCTTGGTGCAGCTTGAGGCTGTGTGCTCTGGTTGTGTCAGTGCTGCTGGAGAAAGAGCCCAATATCAATATGATTGATATGGAGGTAATATGGACTCTTACAGAGGACCTGGTGGTGTTTTAGCATCAGCATTGCTGCACTTCCACTGTAAAATGTCCTTGCACAGCTCTGAGTTACACCAGAACAAGGTCTGGCATGTGGGGTTTGATGAAACCAAAAATGGTGCAGCTTGATGGCCATTTCAGTTATTTTTCTTCTTTAATTATTAATTATTTTATCAGATATAGAGTCAAAACCTGGTTTGATCTCATGTTCCAAAAGTACTTGACTGTCTTTTAATATTGACCATTGGAATTACACCACAGGATAAAGTGCATCATCTCCTTTTCCATTTAAGGAGAAAAGGTTAAATCCACAGGAGTCTTCTACCCAGCAGATGGGAATATTTTAGGGAACACTCTAGGGATGTTTGGTGCTGGCTGGTTTTGGAAAAGAACAGCTGTTTCTAGAAATCACATAAAACAGCTCCATTGGGGTGGAAAACATGGTTATTCAGGGAATTACTGGATCAGAGATCCCAGGTTGTGGGATTGTCCTTTCCTATCACCAGCACTATTGAAATATTTACCTCCTTTTTATTTAAGGCAAGTGATCATAGAGAGAGGTGTCAAGTCTCTATCTGATTAAAATAATTCCCATAACAAGATGAAAGACCTGCCAAACCATCTCATTCACTATTGTATTTTCTCTGTAGCTGTGACTGTGGAAATAATCTGCTAGGTGACATTTTACTAAGGATTTTTGAGTCATCCCACTCCACCAGAGGATTATTTCCAAAGATGATTTATGACTAGAAAGGAAAAAAGGTTTTAAAGCCCTGACACATTTTTTATGCTGTTATTTTGGGTCAGATTCCATTAACAGCTTTTATTCTTGCTAAGTTTTGAATAAGAATATTTATTTTTTAAGGAATTATCTGGAGTTTGAGGGCTGAAGGTTACTTAGCATTGTTCTTTGAGTTAACAGTGGTGGAAAACAGTTATTCTGAGTTGACACAGAGACAGCTTAGACAAGTTGTTATGGCAGAAGCAGAGGAAGAGTGGAAGGGTTGTCGTTCATCCATGAGTTTTTTAAAAACAACAGAAAGACAAAGGAATTATTCTCCTAGCAAGACACAGCCACATACACAGTTGGTTTTAGTCAAACAGAAGCTGCAAGGAGTCTGTCCAGGCTTCAGGGTCAGTGAAATGTAGGTGAACTTGAGGCACCCAACTTTCTGAAAGTCTCTGACAGTTGGTTGGGATATTAAAGACATTTCCAGCTTGTTTATAGCAAACAATAAAATAAAGAAACCTCCCTTACCCACCCCACCAAATCAAAACCCAGATGATTCTCTGAATGTAAAGGAGGGATCTCACCCCACCTTTTCCCCAGAAGTACTTGAAGCAAGACCAGGGAAAAAGCCCAAAGGTGGAAAAGATCCGCTATTCCTGAATTTTGGCAGATGATGAACCAAACTCTATTTCAGCCATGGTTTTCAAACACCTCCTGCTTCCAGAAAGATCTGCCCTAAAATAAGATCCAAACTAACCCCAACCCACCCTCCATCGCCTGAATGCCCTCTCTTAAATATTCTCCTGCTCAAAACACACCACCACAGAAAAATGAGCTTAAAAACATCATTACTGGCATGCTCAATATTTTTTTGTCTCTCAACTCCTAGGGAACATCTCCCAGCTTCACACCAAACCTACCATGGCCTCCAGCAGTCTGGGTTTGGGTGCTGGCTTCATGAAGCACCACAGAGGGCCCGGCTGCTTCCCCTGAGGGCTCTGAGGGAGCAGAGCCAGCAGGGACAAGGCCAAGGCCAACAAATGACCTAAAGCAGGGATCTCACCCCACCTTCTACAAAAAAGTACTTGAAGTAAGACCAGTGAAAACGCCCAAAGGTAGGAAAGATCCCCTATTCCTTAATTTTGGGCAGGTGATGAACCAAACTCTATTTCAGCCACGGTTTTCAAACACCTCCTGCTTCCAGAAAGATCTGCCCCAAACTAAGATCCAACCTAACCCCAGCCCACCCTCCATGGTCTGAATGCCCTCTCCCTTAAACTTCATCTCCCCAAAACACAGAAAAATGAGCTTAAAAACATCATTACTGGCATGCTCAATATTTTTTTGTCTCTCAACTCCTAGGGAACATCTCCCACCTTCACACCAAACCTACCATGGCCTCCAGCAGTCTGGGTTTGGGTGCTGGCTTCATGAAGCACCACAGAGGGCCCGGCTGCTGCCCCTGAGGGCTCTGAGGGAGCAGAGCCAGCAGGGACAAGGCCAAGGCCACCATCTGCCCTCATGCCAGGGGGAAGTGTCACCAGCAGGGACGCCGAGTCCAGCAGCTTTCTCAGGGCTGTCTTGATCTCCTTGTCAGCACGCTGCAGCGAGGCCTGCACAGAAGTCTCCGTCTCTGACTGGGGGGAAGTCATTCCTACAGACAAGAACAACAACTTTTCTCCCTTCAGGGCAAAAAAGGAAAACAGCAGCAGCATTCAACCCATAGGAATATCTGCCATCGTGGCATTTTCCCCTCCTAGAGAAAGGAGTTGATGGAGAAATCCTTATTCCAGCAAGAGGGAGTGTAGGTGAGAGTTAAAATAAGAAGGCTGGCAGAATGTGCTTTGGCAAGTTGTACCTATGTGAACACCTGGCCTGTTCCAGAGAGTGGAACAAAGGATCCATCTCCCAGCTCAACCTGGCGTTGGTTGGTCTGTCAACAATACCTTTATTAATCATAGAATCACAGAATATCCTCAATGGGAAGGGATCCACAAGGATCATCCAGTCCAGCTCCTGGCCCTGCACAGTCACCCCAGCAATCCCACCCTGTTCCTGGGAGTGTTATCCAAACACTCTTGCCAGCTTTGGGGCCGTGCCCATTCCCTGGGGAGCCTGGGAATGCTCTGGGGGAAAAATCAACCCAAAAATTGGATGAGACCAATGAAATGGACCCATTGCACTGATAGAGACCCTACATGAAGGAAGATGTTATCTCACAGGGAAGGAAAGGGAGTGCACAGGAATCAGCCTCATCAGTGACTCTGGAGAAGGGCAGGGGGATGAAGGGAGAGCTGCTCTTTCTCATCAAAGTCTGGCAGAAAAGCCACTTCTTGCTCTAGGGTGATGTGTTTGTCCTGCTTCACAGTATCTGAATATTTCTGATGGGTTGGGATGTAGAAGGCTGGGATGGGATCACAAACTGCAGGAGCTCTTCTCACCCAATCTCCTGCCTGATAAACCTCCCACAAATCCTGAAAAGGCACAACAAAGGGATGGATGTACTTAGGGAAGCCCCCATGTAATCATGAAGACAGAGAAAATGCAGGTCAGGTTAAGACAATGATCACATTCATGATGCAGATGCTCACCAATCAATAGAGAAAACTCAAATCATCACATGGTTTGAGAAAAAAAAAAGAGCATTTGGAAAAAACAGCTCTGACTTGTTTAATGCCATTGACATTAATGAGCATGCTCCATAGCAGTTTTGATTCTGCTCCTTTCCTGGCCTCAAAAAAGTAAATTCCCATTATAGACCTGAGAAAATAAAGTTGAAGGCTATGTGTGGATGAAGACCTCTCACTTGATTTCTGTTTTCAATGATCAAGATGGTGACAAAATATTTTTTTCCTGAATCTGTTGATGGAAAAAAGCAAGATTTCCTCACATGATGCCCCAGACTTCCCATCAGTGCTCATCAGCACTGGGCTGGCTGGAAGACAATAAATATTTTCCCTGAGAAATACCTGGATTCTCTGGTGTTCCTGCTGTGATTTCTGCCAACTGGTGCTGTCCTGTGAACAGGGCAGCTGCCAATGAGTGAAATGATTGGAAAGGCATGAAACACTCAACTAGGAAATATGTCCACAGGTGTGTGGATATAGATCTAGAGGTTATATATAATCACTGGTCTCTCCCATGCTCTACCACCATCATTTCCCTCCCTGCCCAAGGGAAATTACACCAATTCCTTCTTTTGGACACTGATTCAGCCTGAGGAACTTTAAAAACCCCCAAGATACACAGACCTAACAAACACCACAGTGATGACACCCTGAGATGGACAACCTCTTTTCCATCTCTAAAATCTCAGCCTTGAGCCTTTCCACCCCACAACTTCAACCATCCCCAGGAACTCAAGACTGACACAAATTTTGGAGCTCCAGTTTGGTCTCAGAGAAGGACCCAAAACAAGGTGAATCATTCAAGATTCCTGAGTTGGAAATATCCCTAAAACTAGATTTTTTTCACTTCAACACTCCTGAAACTGTCCATGAAAAAGGAGAAAGAGACCAACTGCATTAATATTCTTGGACTGCAACCCAGTTCCTGCTGAAGTCAGTGGGAGAAGAGGATGAGCTGATGGAATATCAAGTGATGTAACAAAGAACACAGAAACCCAACAAGTCCAGTGACAGCTGATGCAAGACATTTATTAATTTAAACCCAGCATCTAACAGCATATCTTGCACTTAACTTTTTTTGTGTGTGTTTTTTTTTTTCTTTTTTGTATCTCAAGCAAACTGAAGTTTCCACTTTATTAATACCCATTTACCTCCAGGAATTTCATTTAAACATTCACTGTATTAAAATCTTTCATACAGCTGTATCTTTTGATCTACAGGAAATAAATCCCCACACATCTCATTAGTTATCTACACAGTTTAATCACTTACAAGCAGAATTTTTAACCTCTAGGAAAATATTTTGAAAATATATGTAATGAACATCTCATAAACCTTTCACTTTGTGAACAGAGCCCTGCATAGGATTTTAAAAATTCCCTTCAATTGATTCTCTTTTGCTTAAATATCAAAAGAAAATGTAAACAGATGTTAATTGCTTTGAGCTAATGAATCAAAGTATAATTATTTGTTGTATGACCATTTGAAGTGCAGCCTTAGAGATTCTTTAAAAAAACCTGAGTGTTAACCACAACAGGAGGAAACCTCCATGTTCCTTTATACATCCTCATTATCTTTTGTTTGAATATTACATTTTTTGAAGACAATCACAGGGCAAATTCTTTTCTCAGCAGTATCTTCATAAATCTGAATAAAATCCACTTCCTTCTGTGGAATTATTCAAGATTGATACTGGAATAACTGTGATCAGAATCAGGCTCAAAATAAAAGAAACATTTTTAGCTTTGAAAGCATTTCCCTGTTGTGTTCCTGTTACTTTCCAATGTACAGTGCAATATATGAAAAAAGCACTAATATATATATCCATTTTATTGCTTCATTACAAAACAAACAGTATAAACCAAGGAGATGTTATAAAAAATGGGATAGTACCACAAAGGAAGCTTGATTTCCTTCACCACTGGAAAAGCATCCTAAATCATGAAGGTAGTGCACACAACATCCAGAGTGGATGTTGAAAGTGAAAGGCTGTGAAATCAATATGTTCATTTTAGTCAGCACAAGGTGCAGCTGCAGAAGGAAAAAAAATAACTTTTCTACAAGCACCTTTTGTGAATTCATTCCCTGTTGGCAGGAATATTGCCTCCAAAACAAGCTCCTCAATATCACCTGGCTGGGAAACCCTGAGCCAACACCATCCATTCCTTCCCAAGGCAGAAACTCACTCCACTTTCTCTCCTCATGCTGCTTGGAAATTCAGCTGTGCCTGAGCATTTCTGGTTTCCCTAAACCACAAATGAATCCGCAAATGAACACTTCTACAGAGCTCAGTTGGGAGAGGGTGTGGGGACCTTCCACTCCACATCTCTGTCACCAGAGAGGGCCAGAGCAGGGTCCTGCTGAGATCAGTGAGCTCCACCTGACACCGATATTTGGGCCTGGGAACTCATCTCTTTTTAGGGCAGCTTGTTGGAGGTCTGGGCTACATCAATTTCTGGTGAAGCCAACAGGGATGGGCTGTGCTCAGTGCACCTCAGCCTCCCCCTCGTGCAGCGTTCCTGCTGGAAAGCTCCAGAGGAACCCCACAGTCAGTCCCTCTCTGAGACACCTCGACCTTCCTGGTTACAGTAAAATGATGCAATTGCGACTGGCAGCCCAATACATTTGGAACAGATCCATGTTTCAACTGAATATTTATGGTAAAGCTCTTTTTTCTCTCTTTATTTTTTTAAATCTTTGTGCTCCTGCTACTTTGCCATAGCTCAGTGGTAAATTCCTCTTATCACATATAGGGGACATCAGGGATTAATCTGCTAGCAGGAATGTTTCACCACTGGCACATTCAGGAGAACAAATCCTCATCCAGTCATATTTATTGGCAAAGACTACATTTGTGGTGTCCTTTGAAGACCACTTTGTGGTTCTTTGTCCTTGTTAATGTTTGATTGCAGATGCAGAAATTATTTTGTGCAGCACATTATTCTTTCAGTGCATGTTAACTAAATTATATTTCAAAAGATACGGTTTATAAATCCACCACACTAGAATTCAGGATAATGAAACCTACATTATCAGACAACTAGGAAGTGGATTTGAAAATATTAGTCATTTAGAAAAGACAGTCTTTTTCACTTAAAGCAGAAGAGAACAACAAAACTCTTGCTTCCTCACGACAGTGGGACTCTCTCCACTGACTAGAGTCAAACTGGGATTTCAACTAAAAAAATGCCTGAGCAGCCCTTTGAATCCCTGGTATATGTTAACATCTACTATATATCTCATTATTTGGCAGAAGGTTAAAAAAATGCAACCAGACTGTGCATCTTGAAAGGTTTATGAAGAAATTTTGGTAAAGCTAATTGGTGTCACAAGTGTAGAGCAGAGTCAAAGCACAGTGAAGCTTCATGACCTTTGGGCCCGTCACGGTGACAGGAGACACCCCCTGTCCTGGGCTACTGAAAGATGCTGAAAAGCTTAGATACTTTCACCTCCTTGCCACACCAAAAGCTGGCACATGAAAAAAATAATTAAGTTTATGGACAAAAAACCCCACACTTCTTCATCTAGATTTCTGTCATAGGTAGAAGAATCAGGCTTTTCCTAAACCTCCCATCACTGCTCCACTATGGAATGATACATGTTCACCTAGATCAAAGCTTTTAAAGCTACAAACTGTTCTGACAGACTGTTCCCTTTAAGACTGGAAAAGCTTGACACATCATATTTAAATACATTTCTCTCTAAGGCATTCCCTTGTAATCTTCGCCACCAATTCCCCTCGCCTACAACAATACTGATATTTATATTTTTTACATAAAGCTGCTCTTTTTGGTGTTAAAAACCACACTGGCATCCTCTCAGCTCTGGGAGAGGTCTTCTGTGCTGATGTGCAAGGTGACAGGCTCGCCAACAGTCCCGTAGCTGAGGGTTCTGGTGGAAACTTCAGTTTTGAAGCTGGACTGCCCGTTGTCGGCGGAGCGCTGGACCTCGGTGCAGAACGAGGGCTTCACCGTGAAGGAGGGGCCGGGAGGCGCCGCGCGGGCGTCGCTCACGCGGAAGGAGATGT